GGCTGTACCCTGCAAAGCCATAGGGGAAGACCTACCCAAGGCTGTGGGAGCATGTCTCTTGCATCAGCATGACTTGGATGTGAGATGTGGAGTCAAATTATATCATTTTGGAACTTTAAGGCTTAATGACTGCCCTATTGGATTTTGGACTTGTGTGGGGCCTATAGCCTCTTTGTTTTAGCCAATGTCTCCCATTTAGTATGGGAGAATTTATCCAATGCCTGTACCCCCATTTGTATCTTGGAAGTAACTAACTTTCTTTTGATTTTACAGTCTCATAGGTGGAAGGGATATGCTTTGTCTCAGATGAGACTTTGGAGTTGGACTTCTGGTTTAATGCTGGAATTAATTAAGACTTTGGAGGACTGTTGGAAAGGCATGATTGGTTTTGAAATGTGAAAAGGACATGAGATTTGGGAGAGACCAGTGGTAGAATGATATGGTTTGGCTCTGTGTCCCCACCCAAATCTCACCTCATCATAATCCCCATAATCCCCACATGTCAAGTGTGGGACCAGGTGGAGGTAATTGAATCATGGAAGTGGTTTCCCCCATGATGTTCTTGTGATAGTGAGTGAGTTCTCATGAGATCTGATGGTTTTATAAGTGTCTGGAACTTCCCCCGCTGGCACTCATTCTCTCTCCTGCTGCCCTGTGAAGAGGTGTCTTTCGCCATGATTGTAAGTTTCCTGAGGCCTCCCTAGCCATGAGGAACTATGAATCAGTTAAACCTCTTTTCTTTATAAATTACCCAGTCTCAGGTATATCCTTATAGCAATGTTAGAATGGACTCATACAGCCATTGACCTGCCCTCAGCCTAGTGCAGGGTAACAGGAGATCCACATGTGCTATCAGGGCCCAAAGTTGAAGTCCTGTTTCCCTTAAACTCTGCAGTGGGCAGAACAGAGCTCTTACTGGTCCCTGCCATGCAATGGGTCATCCTCTCACCTCTTTCAGCTTCTTCTTCCCCCTGTCCTCTGGCCCTCATCAGGACTCACCCCAGGTGTTCAGGAAAGCTGGTGAGTTCCCAGGTTAGGAAAGCTCCCCAAGCCAGTGGGAGGGTTGGGATTGGATGAGGCTACTCAGCCAGTCTGAGCCTGTGTCCCAACACCTCTGGCTTCCGGATAATTCTCCCATGGCCCTGTTGCTTGTGGAATGCAGTATGAATGCCTGACATTGCACCTAGCAGCTCTTAGTGAACTGGAGATGCCTCAGTGAGCATCTGGCCCTTGGCTGAGCATCCCCACACTTCAGTGACTCTAGAGGAGCACACAGATCCCCCCAGCTCTGGGTGAGGCTGTTGGAGGCTGGGGTGCTATGCCCAGATCACTGGTGTGCATAGAACCGTGGGGGCAGGATGGCCTCCTGCCGGAAACATGGTGGTCAACAGGTCTCTCTGCTGTACCCACGTCACAGTGAGTTGTTCTGTGTTCTCCAGGTAAGGTCAGGCTCCTGAGGAGACCTTCGTGGGTCTACACAACAGGTTTTAAGTCTTAAGTGGCTAGCGAGGAACACAGAGAGCCAAGGATGCTTCTAGGATTTGCCACTGAGGCCAGTTGCAGCAAAACATCATGAAAAAACGTTCCAAGCAATACTGTTAGAAATGGGCCCTCTTGCTGCCAGGAGCTTCAGGCTTGGAGCTGCCTTTCCAGCCACTGTCCAGTCATGGAAGCTTCTGAAGCCCATGTGGGGCCAGAGCTGGGCTTGCTCTGGTCCTGACACACCGGGCATGAGACATACAGCATGAGGAGGTGGGCTCAGGGTTTCCTCACTCCCTACATTCCTGCTGGCAATAGGGTCCCATCAATGACTCTAACTGCATTCCTTGCAAGGGGGGTGCTGGGAGACAGAGCCCAGTGTCACACTAGTAAAACCATCCACGTCCTAACCGTTCCTGAAGAGCCCAGGCCTCGCGGGGAGCTAATAACAGGCTCTGCATGTGGCCCACTCACTCACAGGTCCACCTGGGGAGGAGGCCATCACCAGGTCTGCGTCTGGAGGAAAGGAGTCAGTCCCTGCCCTGGGCTTATGTTCCCTTTTGGCCCACACTGTCTGCAGAGTTCATGCAGTAGCTGAATTGTGCATAATTTACAGCACCGTGTAATTACCTTCAGCTTTAGACTCAATAAAAACTTCTATGCTAGCCGGGTTCTGCACCATAAATGCATACCCACAGCCTCCCTGCAGGCCCCAGAGGTCAGATATCCCTGACCTGGGCTCCCTGGAACAAGGGTCTGCCTGATCTGAGAGCAGGAAAGGATCCAACTACCTGGGCATGGAGTCTGCTGCAGTTGGCCAGCCTCATCCTCCAGCCTCCAGCATGGGCCTGGGCAGCGCCCCATGGGCCCGTGAGCCTGCCTTCCCTGAGGGCAGGGCCTGGCATGGGAGTGTGATACTCTCTATCTTGGTCCATTTCCCTAGTGGGGTGGACTGTTCAGGTAAAGCAAATTCCCATTCTACTCCCCACCTGAAGGGCTGAGGGCGTAAGGCCACCAGCAAGGGGAGGCGACCTTCTCAGGGTCACCTGGTAGGTCAAGGGCAGAGTTAGAGCTGCAGAGTTTGCCAGGCAGAAGGGCAGGTCATATTCTCCCACATGAATGACCAGGCTGACTGTGGCCAAGGCCTCCAGGCACAACACTTGGGGTTCGGGTCAGGGCTCCCAGATGCTGGCACTCAGGACAGAGTGGCCCCGACAGGGAAGCCCATTGATTTGTCTCCCACAGACTCAGGGCTCCAGCGACACACATTGATTATCTTACAGTTGGGAGGGTCAGAAGTCTGACACAGGTCTCGCTGAGCTAAAGTCAGGGTGTGGGCAGGGCTGGATCCTTCTGGAGCCTCTGGAGAGGTCCATTTCCTGCCTTTTCCATCTTCCAGAGGCCCCTGCAACCCTGAGCTCGTGATTCCTTTCTTGAGCCTCAAGGCGAGTCATCTCCTGATCTCTCTCTCTCTCCGTGTGTGTGCACACGTGTGTCTCTGTGTGTGTGTCTACGTGTACATGTGTGTCTCTGTGTGTCTGTATGTGTGTGTGTTTATGTGTGTGTCTGCATGTGTGTGTCTCTGTGCATGTGTATATGTGTGCATGTGCGTCCGTGTGTGTGTGTATATGTGTGCATGTGTCTCTGTGTGTCTGTGTGTATGTGCGTCCCTGTGTGTGTGTATATGTGTGCATGTGTGTCTGTGTGTCTGTGTGTGTATGTGTCTGTGTTTATGTGTGTATATCTGCAGGTGTGTATGTGTATGTGTGCATGTGTGTCTCTGTATGTCTGTGTGTTGATGTGTGTGTCTCTGTATATGTGTGTCTCTGTGTATATGTATATGTGTGCATGTGTGTCTCTGTGTGTCTGTTTGTGTGTATGTGTGTTTGTGTGTGTCTCTGTGAGTGTGTTTGTGTGAAACACCTCTGCCTCCATCTTCCTATCTCTTCCTCACTGATCTTCCCGCCTTCCTCTTAGAAGGACCCTTGTGATTACACTTGGGGCCACCTGAATGACCCAGGCTATTCCCCCACCTCAGGATCCTAATCCCATCTGCACAGACCTTTTGCCATGTAAGGTGATGCACACCTGTTCTGGGGATCGTGGACATCTTTGGGGCCATCATTTTGGCTCCCACACTCATGAACGTGGCTGGGCTGAGTAGTGGACCCGGCACATCTTCTCAGGGACATTTCTGGGGAGGGTCCTGGTCTGCCCAGGGTTGCCAACATGCAGGGCCCCAGGCCCTGAGCCCTATGCCTGGCCCATGGAACGTGCCTGGCTGAGTGAAGTGTGGAGTAATTTTCTCCACGCAGAACAGAGTGGCTTCTATTGACACGGATCCATAGCTCCTCCAGAACCTGTGCTAGGCTGGCCGGAGTGAGGCGTGAGTGGGCTACTGGGGACCCAGTCAGTGCCCAGCAGGTCGGGAGCCTCCCTCAGAGGGAAGTCAATAGCTAGAGGTGGGTATATGGGTGTTCTCACCCATTCATTCCCGCACATTTGAAAAGTCCCAGGAGGCTTGTGGAGCCAGAGGGACCTTCTGAGGTCACTGCAGGAAGCTGAGGCCCAGAGAGGGGAGGGAGCTTGCCCCAGGGGAACCTCCCAGGGGGTCCACACCTAGACCAGACCTTGGTGCCAGCACAGGCCTCAATCTCTACAGCACCCTGATACCACTTAGGGGATAAACCCAGAGCCCAAGCCGGCCTTGCTGGCCTTTATCTCATGGGGACAGTGCGGGGCCAGAGTGTCAGAGCGCAGAATCTTCCATGCACCTCCATGCCGCAGGCTCCGGGCCCCACATTCCTTAGGGAGGGACTTTTCTCCTTTCCTTCCCTCTCATTATTTTTCTTCCTTTCATTTTTTTCTTTTTAATCTTTTCTGATAACTTTTCACAGATAAGGGGTTTAAAAATGGCACATGATTCCTTTTAGATATCTTCAATTTCCATCTATGAAAATACAAATCTTCATTATTTGCTCATCCACAAATGAGCAGGACACCGGGGCTGTGGTTGCTAATGAAAGCAGCCCTTTTAATTCTGCTGCTGTGGGAGGGTAATGAGCTGTGGCCGTGCGCATTGCTTCACGGCCATGCAGAGCTCGACTGGGGAAGTGTAGGGAGCCACTCTCCAAATTACTCCATTGCCGGAACCGGGGCCAGAGGTGCCCCAGAGTGCTCTGCATCTGAAATGGAATTTCACTGAGGCAGAGACAGCTGGTGGGCTGGAGAGAGCTCTGCCCGCATGTGACCTTCATGAGCTGCTTGGTTTCTCTGAATGTTGGTGTTCTTCCTGGTCTAAGGCTGGTGATGAGAATGTCTACCTGTTAATCAAATGAATCAGATCCATAAGGCCCCCTAAAAAGGCAGGCTTTGTCTTTAGCATTCATATTGTCCGTAAACAAGCTTTGCAAATGCGTGGATTGCAGTCCTGAGGGGCTTTTTCAGTGAGAGTTCATGCTAATGACTTTCTAATTCAGTGTCTCTGACAGCCACTGAGATGAGTTTTTCCACTCGAGCAGGTGTGTGGTGTGGACGGGCGATGACCGAGTTTTCTTCTTCAACCCAACGATGCACCTGTCTGTCTGGGAGAAGCCCATGGACCTGAAGGACCGCGGAGACCTCAACAGGATCATTGAGGACCCGCCCCACAAACGCAAGCTGGAGGCACCAGCAAGTAAGTAAGCACTGGGTTATTTACATCTCCTTTGAAGTGTTTAAGCTGCTTATTTCTAATGAATGTAAAGCGAAAGCATGTTTCTTCTTGGTTATGTTGAAAATTGACTATTAAGGAATCAATCCTGTGCACGACTGCAGAGTTTAGTAATCAAGTTTTTATGGCACTTCCTGCAGAAACCTTGATCCTTCCAAGCGGTCAGCTCTGACTGTCTTTTTGCATCACGTAAGGTGATTAATGCAGAGAGAGCCATTCATTCCATCAGCCCCTTGAAGCTTCCATCCAGCATCACTGTTACCCGGCATTTTATTCTTGTTCCAAGTGTCTTATGAACGCCCCTTGAGAGACCAGATGTACACAGATGGGAGTGTATTTTCTTCCACCTTACATTCACTTTAGACCTTTGCACCACATCGATCTGCTGTTGTGTTTGGATGGATGCCTCAATTCGATAAAACCCTGGTCATGGACGGGGGAAGAGATTCTCTTCAGCCGTAGAGGAATGGGGTGCTTGGAGAGGCGGTTGTTTCTGACAATGCCTGTAAATCTTGTTTTGCCAAGAAACAGAGAGGAACTTTTAGCATTTTCACAAAGGATCTTTTCCGATTAGATCTAATACATATTTTATTAGCTGCTGCTCAGGGAAAGCCCTCCTCCCGCAGCATGTGGATTCAAACAGTCTTGACTCCACTGGAGATGTTTAAGAGCAGGAGCTCTCCACCAACTTGAGAGGCAGAGACGCCTGGCTGCAAGGCCAGGCCGGTGAAATGGGAGCTTGGCTCTTTGTTTTAGTTTTGTGTGGAATTCTATTGGGTTCGTAGTGGTATTGGGTTCATAGTGGCATTTTTAATTACACATCATTGAAGGCTAATACTAGATGACGGCAATTCACACTTCGTGTCAAATCCAGAGGTATTTGACTGAAGCTTTAGAAGACAGTATTATAAAAGTTTTATCAGCATTTTTAACCATAGTAAGAGACATGGTGATAGTCTTTTAACATTGAGAGATCTCACGTTTAAAATGTTTACTCCACTTAAAATAGTAACAGCATTCTCCAGAGACTGAATCAGCATGTTGGGAAAAGAAAAATCTCCAAGGTGCATATGGAATTGAATCTGTAAAATGTTGCTGTATTTAGGGACAGTGAAGATTGAATTTGGCGATTGTGTTTCCTCCTTTGATCAGGCCACATTCATTATGAAAAGGGGGCCTGAAAGAGTGCTTTAAAATCGTTACAGAAAGCACCCTCTCAAGGTTCCTACTCATGGACCAGAGGATGGTGCACGAGTTGGGAAATCACGACACCCTCAGACCCCACGAGAAACACTGAGGCACAGTTTGTCCTAACAATGATTTTATTTGCTTGGCAAAGACAGATCATGCTGGCAGATTCCTCAGTCCTTTCTTTAACTTGCGTTCTTGTAGATAATTGGGTGCTGTTTCTTTCTTCCCCAAAAGAATTGGTAGTAAGGAGAAAGAAATGAACTTATTAAAGGCAATGCATAGCTGCTCTCTCATTTCTTTTGTTTGGACCAAATCAGGTCAGGTCCGAAAAGAGGTAGGGAGGCATCTGCAAACGCCCCCACTGGGCCACCTGCTGTCTCAGGGCTCGCCAGGACTGTGGGTAGACGACAGGGGCCTGGATTACCTGGCTCAGAGCTCCATGCTCCATTTCCTTCTTTTAACAAGAATCTCATGTAACACTCTGAAAAGTAGAGAGTTAAGGTTTAACAACCAGAAATACCTGATTAATTTAGATTTAGCATGTTATGGTGTTTTGTCTGATACCCATTTTATTATGGTGGACCTAAGTACTCTACTTAGTAGACAGACATGTGATTACAAAATTACATGTAGTTATAAAACGATTTTTAATCTTACTTCCCTCCTCATATAAAGAGAGGAAGAGATTTGTCTTCAACCAGTCTTTTTTTTTTTTTTAACCTGAATCTTAAGGATATGCAAATGACTTCGATTCTCGACTTCCGGTTGCCAGGGTAGAATTGATGTTTAAGAGCACAACTTCTAATTCCCTAAAATGCACTCAGAGAGCTTTGCAGCGAAACAATTAGGACAGGAGGTGTTTCTGGAGGGTTAATTAATGATCAGGGAGCAGAGTTGATGGCCTGCAGCCATCAGGAGTGACTGGCATTCTCCCTGGCCGACGTTCATCGCGGCTCGTCCGATATTTAACCCTGATGATGAAAACAAGCTCCAGGGGAGATGGCTCTGGGTGGAGAGTTTTGTTTTTCACATTTTGTTCAACTATCAGTCATTGTCGATGTGAATATATCCATACCTATTTGAAGTCTGAAATGGGACAATTACGCTTTCAGTCGACACCCATTACTTTTCAAGAGGCAAATGAAATAGAAGAATTTTGTAAAACGGCTACAACATTTAACTGCTCTTAGGTCTCAGCGGCGTGTGTGTGTGTGAGCTTGTGTGTCTGTGTGTGTGTGTGAGCTTGTGTGTCTGTGTGTGTGTGTGTGTGTTCAGTGGGGGTGTGAGACGTGGAAGTTGTGGCTCACAGTGCTGGGCAGCTGTGGGATGCAGGATGCAGCACCGCCAGAAGTGCTGAGACGTTCGTCATTCCGCAGATAAGGGAAGAGGCCGCTTTTTCATTCTGTGAGCACTGCTAAAGGATTCGAGCGAAGTCTTGAATTATTTTCTAATTACCTTGCAGAGCATCCAGATTTTTTATCGCTGTAGTAACTGTGCTGTTAGTTGAGAATAAATGCCAGTAGAACTGGAGGAAAATGAGAAGTGCCAGGCTTCACCCTCACCCCCATCCGTTCCATGCCATGCCGTTCTCAGGGATCTTACCGACACTTCAGTTGGGAGGGTGCTGGCTGTTGCATTCCCACCTGTGCCCACATTTCACAGGCCTATCAGAGGCACGGTTCTCTCGCTGTCTTCGCCTGCAGCAGCCGAACCCTCTCTTGCTAGAGACGGCAGAAACTCCCCTGCCATCTGGCCGTGCACCTGCAGCCCGGCCACCTTGGCCTGCTCTGCCTGCCCTGGCCACGGGGGCCACCTGTCACTTTACTGGGACATTTGGTGCAGCCTGGTGGGAAGTGTTGGAGCTGGGGCCCTTGGGTTCTTCGTCTGGGGTGGAGGGAGGAGAGGTGGGGGAGAGAGAGGGAATACAAACCCCGGCCTCTCCTCCTGCCTGGCTGTCTCCTGTTAGTGCCTCCCAGGGGTGGAGGAGGACCGGGAGCCCTGGGGTAAGAAGTGAAGAGGGGCCTTCTCACTGCCTTGGGGAGGGGAGGGACCACCGGGTGGGACCCTGGGTGTGTGCAACCCCCACACTTGGTTCCATTGACTCCCCTCCTCAGTCCCACGCAGCAGATGCCATCAGCATTGGAGACCCCTTGCTGCTGTAACAAATGATCACCACGGGGATAAAAGTCACCCAAGGTGATGATCTTACAGTTCTGGAGGGCAGACATTAAGCAGAGCCTCACTGGCATCGGCATCGGCAGGGCTGTGTCTTTCCAGGGGATTCAGGGGAGATTTCCTTGACTCCTGGCCCCCTCATCCATCTTCATGCCTCTCTCTTCTCTCTCTGACTCTGGCCCTTCTGCCTCCCGCCTCCACTCTGAAGGGTCCCTGTGGTCTGTGGGGCCACCTGGATGATACAGGATGGTCTCCCACCTCAAGGGGAACTGTTTAGCAACCTCCATCCCCTTTTCCAGGCAGCCCAGGGTATGCACACCTTCCAGGATTCAGATGTGGGCATTGGTGGGAGGCATTAATCTGTGACCCATGCCTGATTTACAGAAGAGGGAATTTCAAAAAGGAGCTTAGTTAACTTGCCCAGGGTCACACCTCTACTGAGTGGGGAATGGGGATTTGCACCCTGGCGAGTCTGATGCCAGGCCTGAGGGCAGCCTGGCCAGGCCCCCATGAGCCTGTGATGGACACAGGTGACTTTTTGTGCCAGCTCACCAGGCAGCAGCTGCAGCAGCTATGCACTCAACACTGTCCCTCCCTAGCCTGCAGGCAGATGACATGAACTTCACTGGACTTAATTGCTCTATAAACACTTTAGACATTTATATTCAAGACCAATGTAAATTGACAATGACATTCATTTCACCAAGTAGGATGTAAAATTGTCCGGTGAGTAAACACAGCTGTGACTCGTGAATGGGTCACTTTCCCCAGCGTTGTTTGTCCGAGAAGACAGCGCACACTGGATCTATGACATCCAGGGCCCCAGGTGGCTGGGGCACTTGGGGGGACCCAGGGCTGCTGAAAACACAAATGCCAGAGCCCTGGAGGGTGGTGAGCTAGTGTGGTTCTGTCCATGAGGATTCCGGGCAATGTGGAAGGCTCTGCCCACCTGGAACCCACCTGCCCCAGGCTCTCTGGGAGGAACCCTGGCCTTCATGTCACGGCACCCTCTGCTGGCCTCCAGGCCCTGAGCCTCCTCTTTGAACAATGAATGAACCAGGTGGTTTGTTTGCTAAGCTCCATTTTAGTGCCCACTTTGTTTAGTCTCTGTAACATGATGCCAAGATGAAGCAGATGAGCTGCGACAGGTGTCTCTTCCTTGCAGAATCCCGAGTTGACCGTGCAGGAAGTTGAGTGTGAGGGTGGAGCTCGCAGGGCAGCCGGTGCAAGGGAAGGAGTGAGCTGGGGGAGTCTCTAGGACGCTCTGATCACACTCACCCCTCAGCTTGCTGTGTTTGGCCTCAGCCGGGAGGCCAGGTGGGCAGGGCAGGGGCCGAGCCAGGCTCCGGGAGGCCAGGTGGGCAGGGCAGGGGCCGAGCCAGGCTCCAGGAGGCCAGTTGGGCAGGGCAGGGGCCGAGCCAGGCTCCGGGAGGCCAGGTGGGCAGGGCAGGGGCCGAGCCAGGCTCCGGGAGGCCAGGTGGGCAGGGCAGGGGCCGAGCCCGGCTCCTGGATGCACCAGTGGATTCGGTGGAGAAGGACAGACGCTAGAACAGCATTTTTCAGAGTAGTTTCCCCAGGACCTAAGACATGAAGCCACC